CATTTTGGCGAACATTTTTAATGTTCGCAAAAATGGTAAATTCAGTAGATGTAAAGGGTAGATCTAATTTTTTAATGATTTTAGGGTCAAAATTAGGTAGGCCAGATTGCTGTAGGAAGGACTTAATTGTGGACAGTCTGTCTCAGGAACAAATAGAGGCTTTATGTAGAGAAGGGAGGTTGTATAAGATATTATATATTTTAAAGCAAAACTTTCATATATATTTTCAGTGACTACTTATTATGTAATTATTGTTGAGTTTATCTGAGAGTAAATTTACATTATGTATGCTTGCTTCATTGTATTTTCATTAAATTACTATAATTGATCTGTATGTCAGCTGGTACAGTCATCATCCTTTTCTTTTTTTTTTTTGAAACATTGGATTACAGATCTATGCATTTGCAGAAATATTCAATAAATATTTAAAGGAAGGTGTAAAATTTGCAATTATAGCTTTAAAAAAAAGTTGTTTGGTACATAGGAAATCTGTCGATATACAAATGCCATTTCTTAAAAAATGTGCTGCATCAAAAACGTTTTTTATGTCACGCTTAATTACAGTGTTCTGAAATTAAGTTGCTGGCCACCAGATGTTATACTTTTGTAAGTTTTGTGATATTAGTACATATCTATTTCAAGCTCATGAGTACTGATAGACAAATGCTTGCTGTTGACAATAAAGGGTCTTAATAAAAGAATACTATTAAGAGAACAAGAGACCTGGTGGTTTAAAAGGGAGCCTACCCACACTCCTAGTTAATTAAAACAAATCTCCTTTTTCTCAAGTAAGAGACAAGCATGTATAATTAATTAATGGTAAGCGCCCCACATTTTAGACTTTATGACTAACAATGAAACTTTAAAAAAGCAATTAGTTTATATATTGGCTATTTAATAAGTCTCACACAAGTCAGCACGTTCATGTGGTTATCCTTCTTACTTTTTGGAAACTAACAACATTTTCCCAGCATTTTGTTGGAGATGGAAAGCAAACCCTGGAATTTCTCTGTATATTACTTCACCACCTTTGATCAGATGAGTTGTCGTAAAAACATAAAATGTGTTTGGAATAATTGTGAGCCTTTTTATTTCATCATGGTGGCATTCCTTACATTTGCTTTTGTTTTGCAAGATATCTGCAAATATGGCAAATAATAGTTTTTAGGGCACCATACTGTAAAGAAAAGAACTCTGAAGGCTCACTATAATGTGCATTGTGCATCCAAACTATGATAGCGATTTCCATGTAAAACTAGTTTTGGCCAATTAACCCCAGCTGAAACCTTAGGTTGCCTAAAAAAGGTAAGTCAATTGAATTCTCAAAGCTACAACACAGATCCTCCAATATTACTTCCTGGCTTCAAGTGAGTCTCCAAATTAAATCAGTCTCTATTCCATCTAGGACCTCTCCTATCTTTGCAGGGGGCAGATAGGCCAAAGAAGCATTCTCATATGCAGAAATATTTAGTAGTTCTTCGCTTCCCACCCCCTTTACAAAACTTCTTTGTGACTGTAATGAAACAAAAAAAAACAGCAAAATGTGTAGTGATATAATGCAGTTAATGCAATCTAATAAAATATTTTTAAACCTAAACTCTAGGATAAACAAACATTATCTAAATATAAGATGCATGTGTATTTTTTCTTGAAACTTGGTGTACTCTGTATTCTTCAAGATGTGTGCAGTAATTCAGTGTGTTACTGTTAATGAACAATTGGTATTTGTTTTTCAATGAATACAAGTCTGTTTCTTGAAATTCAATATACAGTAGTAAAAAAGAAAATACTAATTTTGCAGTCTGTCAAAAATGACTGTATTTATACTTCACCTATAATAATGATTCCACACCTACAATTAAATGTATTAAACATTTGTAAGATTACTATCAAAACATAATTTGTCAGCATGAACAGCATAATAAAGGACAGAATAAATCTACTAGTATCTATGTAATAAAATCAGTAGCATAATTTTCATCTACTAACTACAGGGGGTGAATAAATGAATGGAAATGCCGTATTTTAAAAGAATATAACTTTGAAATAAATAAAGCACAATTACAAACACAGCTGCGGTCCTACTAGTCAGATTGCCAGTTAGCAGTGTGAGTTAGCTATAGAAGAGTGTGTGGGTGGTTAGCACTCCGATAAGGACTGATGCTGTTATTAGGTCCTTGATATTATTATATTTAAGGAGTTCCCGTTACTTTGTTCAAACCCTGTAGATATCCCTGGTTGTTCCCAGATGCCACTTACTTTGGTCTAAGACGTTAAACTCCAAAGTCCAAGCACAGCCTGCAAAGACGGTTGCACCTTGCTCGCACATGCTCGCTCTGCATTGAGATCTGTAGCACCAAATTTAAAAAATCGTCATCATAAATTTTACGCGTGTGAACAAATTTGCGCATATACTCACATATGTGTAAATGAAGTCCAAAGAAGAAAATTACATTTAAAACTGAGCAGGAGGAATGAGATGAAATTGTTTTCTCATTTAAACGCGTATGTGTTTATGCATCTAAACGCAATCATTTTACTGATCGCCATCTAGGAATTTCTTGGCCAGAAAATAAAATGGGTACTTTTTTTACAGCCGTGTACATGAAGTCTTACTCACCCACGTGCAGTAATCTTCTTTTGGCCAGGCTGCAAAGTAAGCACATCCCTCTTTCTCTCTCTCTCTGTATTGCTTTGCTTTTTCTCTTCGCATTTCTATTTGCTGCATGCAACAGATAGGCTTGCCGAGGAACCAACAGAAATGGTGTAGAGACTAGCAAACAGAGCAGAAGAAAGTTTTGCAAGCCAGGTGAATGGGTAGATGTGTCGGTTACATGGGAGGGAAGGGTCAAAAACCAGGAGACTCCTGCTAAATGCGTGTGAGTTAGTAAAGGTGCTGTATACATCTGTGGGCACCTTACCTTTACACCAAAGGTGCAAGCAGAAAAAATAATCAGGCTGCAGGCCACACGTTTAACACCAGTAGTCTAGATGTTGGTTTCTTCTGCCCTGCCTTTAACTGCAGGTTCTGTCAACAAAACATTGTATAGGTATTGTGTGCATGTTTCTTTAAATAGTTATAGTTTTTAATGTATGTTTGTATACTGGTTACATCTAGGTTTTCTCTCGCAACCCAAAAGCAGGACAATTGTCATGTACGCTAAACGACGTATTCTGAGTTTGTGTGTGTTTTTGTGTGAGGTAGGGATATTGAAGTACTTTATTAATTTATTTTGATAATGTTCTCTGTACAGCGCTGTGAAATAGTGGCACTGTGTAAAAAAGGTGTGCTGGTCTACTCTGCTTCATATGTCCCCAGCCGCAATACCAATCCATATAGAAAGGTAATGTTTGTTTTAGTGATTAGCACTGCTGCCTTGCAGCACTAAGGTCCTCCGTTTGAATCACAACCAGGACACTACCTGCATGGACTTTCCATGTTCTCCCTGTGCTTACGTGAGTTTCCTCTGGATTCTCCGGTTTCCCCCACATTCCAAAGACATTCTGGTAGGAATGTTCCATAAGCTTAGTGACTAGGTGAATTGGGGCGAGTTACGGCTGAGGATAAGCTGTCTTCAGCGCTCTGCCATGTATTAGCCTTTGTGTTGCATTTCTGTAAAGTCAGCTGTGCCTACAAAATAGGTCCAGCAGGCCCACATCTTTCTGAAGTTGTCTAGGTTATCCTGTCTAGTGGCAAGTAGCTCTTCCATTTCATAAACGTGGTAGCTCACAATCTAAGGTCCTTATCATACATGCATACATACATGACAAATGACACATCTGTGTCATCTGTGACAGTAGAAGTGATTTTTTCTGAAGATATAGGTAAACAACGCAATTTAACAGCCTTTGAACTTGGGAGGATTGTTGGCGCTCGGAGCCATGGAGCGAGTATCAGCAAAACAGCAGAATTCGTTAAATGTTCAAGAGCAGCTGTTGTTAAAGTGTTTAAAGACTGGACTGTCAGCCGAAAATCTGGGTCTGAACGTGCGAATTGTGGCCGTCAGCGACTAGTCAATGTTAGGGCAGAACGGAGAGTGGCAAGACTGGTACAAGACAACAGAAAGGCAACAGTGCAGTGTCAGATTCCTCGCATCACCTTTCAACATCTGGTGGAGTCACGAGGCGGCCCAACGAAGTCATCTCGTGGAGTCATCTTGTGGCCCAACGAAGTACTGATGGGGTGGTCATAATAATCTGGCCACTCAGTGTATACCTGTAATAAATAATTAATAAAATAACGTCTTTACCACCAATGATTTGAATGAAAGAGTGGGGGTGTCATAAGCTTAACATGGGATCTTAGGCATGTGTCTAGGCCTTGGAATACCAGTTGCACACTACATAAATGTGGGTATTGGACAAGTTGTTTTGAAATGCATGACAATTTTTATGAAACCTACCAACATGTGCAAATAGAATATGGGAATGTTCTGCTATGGTGAATGCAAAGTTATCTCTCAGGTTCGATCCTCTGCTCAGTGGGTGGGTGCAATAGCCAGCCTGCTGCTGGCTATTGCAATTTTAAATAGCCAATAGCAGGCTGGCTATTGAAACCCCGCCCACCAAACAGAAGAGCGGCTCTTAGAGAGAAGTACTCTCTCAGGTCTGCTCCTCTGATCAGTGGGCGGGCACAATAGCCAGCCTTTTATTGGCTATTACAATTTAAAATAGCCAATAGCAGGTTGGCTATATCTTCCCCTTAGTACATTATGCTGCTGACCGCAGAATCTAGCCAACAGCAAGATGTAAGCAAAGAATTTAATTAGCAACTAAATAGATTTAGTTGTCAACTAAATGTTTTAGTGTGCACCAAGCAAGCAGCATTTTTTTATGTGCATCAAGCCATCAAAAAAAAAAATCTCGGACAAATGTCCTTGATTTCTTCTTTTTTTTTGGCTGGTTGCATGAAAGTGCCTGTTGCTTGAATGCTGGATAATGGGGAGTTTACTGTAATATTTTTTATATAATATCTTTAACTTGATCTCCATTTTTTTTAGATGGATGACATCATTGCAACTGTCAGGGATTCCAACCTGAAGCTCACACTTGCCTTTGGAATTGGAATGCATCATGCGGGGTTGCACGAAAGAGATCGCAAGACAGTGGAAGAGCTGTTTGTGAACTGTAAGATTCAGGTAGAGTATCTTTCAAAAACAAAAACATAGTCTGCCTAATTTGTAATTGTCAAAATCGTTTTTAATTTTTTTGTTTTACTTTTTAAATAAATTAGGTTCTTATTGCGACCAGCACACTGGCTTGGGGTGTGAATTTCCCCGCTCACCTGGTTATTGTCAAAGGGACTGAGTTTTATGATGGAAAAACAAGGCGATATGTTGATTACCCAATCACAGGTAATTTGAGACATCCAGTTTCCAATTTGTTTTACTTAATTGATTACAGTGTTTCTTTTCTACTACATTGTACTTCTATGAAATTGTGGGATTACCTAGTGCATGAAGCAGTGACCAAACATGAGCCCTGAAAAATGAAAAGTGCTTTTTGTTTTAATAGAATCTGTCCTGTTTTGCGTATAAATTGTGTCTGATTTAGAAGGTGGGAAGGAAATATAAAAGAAAATATAAATAACATTCTCAAAGTGCACAGATTGGGAGAAGAAAATACAAAAAATCCTGGCAAAATCTATTTATAATTAAATAGAAATGTTACCCATGACTCATGCTATTCATTTTGATAACTCATCCTTACAGTACCTTTGCAAAGTTTATGTTGTAAGCTTCCTCTCATGTCGCAGCAATCCTTCTATTGTTTGACATCAGTCAATAGAAAAATTAAAAATTCTAGCAAATTGGGAAAGGAGAGGTGATGTAATTACATCCAGGCAGACTGAACACAGGCTACCAGTCAGACAAAGTAAAACCGTTTTGTACACAGATTTTTACAACTGCTATCTATAGATTGGTAGTGAGCTGTGACATGAGAAAGGGAGCAATAAACAGCTTAGAATAATACAGAATAGCAAGAGGTACTACATTAAAGCTGAACTCTGGCAACAACAACAAAAATCACATATATATTCCTTCATAGCCACAAAGGATACAAATCCACTTTGTGTGAACCAACTGCCTTTGTAAACCCTGGTGTTTCCTTGATAAATTAGCAGTGACATCATCACGGTGCTCCACATAGCCTGTTTAGAAATCAGAGCTGTGGGAGGGACCCATTAGGTCCACCCACTACAGCCTGCCTGCAAAAAACTACAATGGGGCAGATACAAGACCAGTCACCTTACAAAAAGAGAGCAGCACTGAACGGTCTTTATTACACAAAGTGCAGAAGTTGTTTCATGCTGGATTACTGCATAGATCTGAAAGAAATGGCCAAATGTCACCAAGATTGACATAATAATAAACATGCCTTTTTTTTAGACAGAATTAGTTTAGCCCTGAGTTCAGCTCTAAAGTGGCCTTTTTATTTCTTTTCGATGGAATTTGCCATCAATTTTTTCTGCCAAGTGGAATAACCAGTGTAATGGCGTAGATCAGTGGTGGTCAACCTGTCAACCTCAGGACCCGCATTTGTCCTTGGTCATTAAGTTGTGACCCAAGTTGCACCACACTGGAACACACGGCATTGCGGTACCATGCGTTCTGGTGTGGGCGATCAAACTGTGGGTGGGAGGTGCGTTTGGGGTGCCATTCAAATGAATGGCAATGGAACACCTCCCACACCAGAATGCGCGGTAGGTACGATTGCATGTTAAGCTGTGTTAATCGTACCAGACTGCGATTAACCCACTGTAATAGTGTGAACAGGCCCTTAAAAACACTGACAGACTCTCACAACCACAGACACAAGCTCACACACTCACAGACATTCTCACACACACATACACACTTCAAAAAAAAAGTTTCACCAAGTCTCCCTACCTTATGAGAACTGGAGTGGATCCTCAGCCTGGGGTCCAGTGTGGGTTGCTGTGCTGTGATGGAGCTACATCCATATGTGCATTGCTGGTACAGCTCCCTTGTGTGCCCTGTAGAGGTGTCAGCATGTGATGTCACTCTGGGCCAGGCACTTCTTCAGATTACAGTCCATGTACCCATTGCACTCCTGACCGCACGTCCAACAAAGTATCCTGGGTGCTCAGTAGCCACCGTCAAAGTAATGCAGAAAAGAAATAGACAAATAGACACCGGCACTCCATTAGCAAATCGATTACGACTATTTATTGATGTACATCAAAAGCAAAATAACACACTTAGTCCACTACTATTGGAGTGCCGGTGTCTATTTCTTTTAGGCACTTCTACAGGACACACTAGGGAGCTGTAAGCAATGTACATATGGATGGAGCTCCCTCATGGCCACAGCCCCACCCAACCTCAAACTGACACTCTAGGGAAACTACCATGGATTACAGTAAGGCACACATTACACTATTGTTTTATGTTAAAAAATCTGAGGGTTTAATGTCACTTTAAGTTTTAAGAATTGTTGGGACATCCAGATTGATATGTCCGTTAGTAGATAGAGTGACATGCAAGGACACTGAGGGGGTGAGTAGAAAGATATATTTGAGTGCCATCAGCATAGAGATGGTATTGGTAGCTGTGTGAAGTTATTAACTGACCAAGAGAGGAGGTGTAGATAGAGAAAAGAAGGCGTCCAAGGACAGAGCCTTGGAGGATCCCTACAGAAAAAGGAAGAGGAGGGGAGGAGTTAGATTTGTAGGTGACACTAAAGGAGCGCTTCGGTAGGAGGAGAACCATGAGGCTGCAGAGACATGTAGGCCAAGCAAGTGGAGTATTTTGAGGAGGAGGAGCAGGTGTTCAACAGTGTCAGAAGCAGCAGAAAGGTCTAATAGCAAGAGTGAAGGTACTGGCAATTGTTTTTAGCAGTTAGTAAGTAATTTGTGAGTTTTAGGAGGGCAGTTTCAGTGGAGTGTAGAGGGGGTGAAAGCCAGACTGTAAAAGATCAAGAAGGTTGTTAACAGCGAGGTGACGGGTTAGGCGGATGTAGATAAGACGTTCTAGGAGTTTGGAGATGAATGGGAGTAAGGAGATTGGTCTGAAATTGTTGATGTTAGTAGGGTCCAATGAGTGTTTTTGGGGTATTGGGGTGACCACCGCATGCCTTAGAGGGGAGGGAAATATGCCAGTAGAGAGTGAGAGATTGAAAATGTGAGGATAGGTAGGATAGAGTAAGAGGGTGACCGAAGTAGTGGTGAGGTGGGTGTCAGAGAAAAGCTTTGTAACCTCTACTGTGGTGACAGGGTGAAAAGAGGAAAGTAACAAGTGTTATGGTGGGTCTGGTACATAAATAGGGGAAGATGACTGGACAGTGGTGATCTGATCCTGAACTGTATCTATTACTAGGGGGAGTAATAGATACTAGGGCTCTATATACTAGCGCTAGGGGGTAGCATTTTAGTAGCAATCAACATCCACGTTTCCAAAGCTACAAATTATACAAAAATATAGATAACATATTTGTCTATATGTTTTTATACAAAAACACTTTGAGATTTCTTACAGAAAAAGGAGCAGAGTGATGACCTCATCAATGTATTGTTTCTTCCCCATTGGCCAAACACAGATGTAAGGCGAACTTGTGACCAAGCTATATTGCTTAACTATGATGTGGAAGAGTGATGCCCTGACTTTGCTTTGTGGAGGGGTGCCTGAAACACAAGACTGGCTGCAACGATTTGCAGATCTTTTTGCAGCTGAAGTAGTTCATGTATATGTATTTCAGATGTGTATTTAACAGTTTGTCTGGAGTTTGAATTTTCAAATGCTCCCTCCTGCTGTTCATGCAACCGTCATTTGAGAAGCTGTGGTTTTTCTGGTATCTTGTATGTTACATTTATCCAACACTGCATAAATGATTGGCATGAAATATAAATCGATGTCTTCTTTTTTTCAGATGTTCTTCAAATGATGGGTCGTGCTGGAAGGCCTCAGTTTGATGACCAGGGCAAAGCTGTGATCCTAGTACATGATCTAAAGAAAGATTTCTACAAGAAGTTTCTTTATGAACCATTCCCTGTTGAATCTAGGTAAGTGCAGAATAGGACAGAGCACCTAGCTAAGATATCAGATATGATGCCATCTGCTTTCCCATAATCTGCTCTTCTAACAGCTGGACTATAATAAACGTTCAGAAAAGCACCCTGGTAGGTATTATAATTATTGTGTCTGCTTTGTATAGGTACTATGACTTATATATCCTAATATGGTGCCAAGTCATTTTATGTGATCCTGACTTCTGCATTTCCTTAACTCTTTAAAGCTTGCTGGAGGTACTATCTGACCACTTAAATGCCGAAATTGCAGCTGGAACAATTGCATCAAAGCAAGATGCCATGGACTACCTCACCTGGACTTACTTCTTCCGTCGACTCTTAATGAACCCTAGGTGAGACATTCTGGAGAGACAGTTTTTTATTTGTTTGTTTGTTTGTTTGTTTTAGATAGAGTAGGGAAGAGTTAGAGCATTATTACTGTCTTTGAGCCTATTGGGGAGTTTCTCACTCTATTCGTCCTGGTAGCCATTGTCACCGAGACAGGAAGTGAAGGGAAATCCAACAAGTTTAAGTTGTCAAAAGAGCAAGAGGTAAGAAAATCATCCAGTGGGGACACCTGTTCCTGTTAGCACTCTATAAAATGGGAATTCTGTTCAGTTTGGTAAGATTTATTTTCATTTAAAAGTTGCATTTGCAGGACAGTAAGTGACAGGGTTTTTAACCTGTCCTTCTCTAAATTAAACTAAACTCTTTTTTTTTTAACTTTACATACACTTTTATAAAAAGGGGTTGGAAAAGCAGGGATGATTTTAAATCAATTTGTGTTTACTTTTTAAAATATCTATGTATTGCAAATTACCAGTGAGAAGTATCTATGTCTACCCGTTGTTCTAGTCTTTTGGTCTTGCCTCTGTAGGCGTGCCTTTTTATATATATGACTTCCTGACCACCCAGTACTGGCAAGGGAGATTTAAATGTACAGTCTTTTTCCTTTTCCCATCCAAATTGTATTTTAAACCTTGAGGTGTTTACAAAGAGCACAGCTTTACTGCTTAATACTTTAGTTTTTTGTATTACTGTACCAGTCCATTCCAAATTCCTTTGACTGTAGTGTGGTGATGTGTGAACCCTTGCTTTTTTAAGATAGCTGTTCCAAAATAGAAAGTCACCCCGCCCCCTGTTCCCCCGACGGTCCCCTTTAAAATATTAGCTGTCATCAGCAGCTGTCACTACACCCCCTGCATGGACACAGGAATTCATGGATCAATGATGTGGATCAGCTGACTGATTAACATGAGGCCTTTTGAACAAATGTTTTTAGAAGTTGTTAATTTCCAAACACATCTAATATTTCATAGCTAATAATACTGATCTACGTTACAGCCCTGTTAGGTGTTTTTGCTGCCTGTATCTGCAGTGGGGGATTTGCCTTCTTTATTTGTCCTAGTAACTATTGTCACCGCAACCTGTTAAAGTGATAACTAAGATGTCTAAGATGGGACTTCCCCTAATTGTGGAAATATTATCTCTTCCTAGTATCTCTTCAGGACAGGAAGTAAAGGTAAATCTTCATAATAGAACATAGACAGTAAGGCTGGGTTCACACCTAGGCGTATTGAATATGCGCGTTTGTCGCGCGTTTCGTGCCGCACGTTCTTACCGCGATTCGCGGTTTAAAAAACACGCGTTTCCGAGGGCTACCTGGCTTTATCCCAATGGATACGCACGACAAATACGCCCCAAAGAAGCTCCTGTACTTTTTTGGGCGTTTTGCAGCACGTTCCTACGCGCTGTAAAACGCCCAGGTGGGAATCATGACCATAGGCAATCATTGGTTTTCACATGTTGAGCGTTTTACAGAGCGTAGGAACGCGCTGTAAAATGCCCAGGTGTGAACCAGGCCTAAAACAAAAAAATTGCCAGGAATTCTAACTATTACCATGTAAAACAAAAATATCACTTTTAGCTTAAGATATACTTTAACTTTGTCAAATATAGCTGATTATATTTGATTGGGGGGGGGGAGTTAGGAGCTGCATTTTGGCCGAGGGTGAAAGTGATGTGAAAGCTTTTCAGTTTCTTAAATGAATGACAGAAGACAGGAACATTTGAAAATGAAAACAAACGTAAAAATCCCTGATTTGTTTTCAGTCTTTGACTGTGCTACCATAATAGTTACGTCAGTAGCTGAACTAAATAGGTAATCATATGGTGATTACTTCACCAACCACTGACAGTGGTAACCAATAAAGTCTTCTGGTTCTTCAATGGTGATGTGATCAGAATGGCTTCTAGTTAATGGCCTCGTGCAATGCGTACCTGCCTGGGAGGATGTTAATGTATGCCGGGTTTAACCGGTGACCTGCTTATCTCTTAAGAGAAAAAATCCAATTTCTGCGAAAAATTCTCCATGTTATTGCTATTATAAATAAGAATTAAAGAAAACTAACAGCATTCATCTGCAGAGGTTGTTAAAGGGCCTCTACGTGTCACAAATCTGGTGTAGGTATACTTTTAAATTAAAGGATTTAGGCATATTCTGTGAAATCTGTAAGCCCCAAATACCTATTTGTTTTAACTGCTTCATTAAATCATAGTGTGCTGTTGTCTGTGAAATAGATTCTGTACAGCTCTAGTTCAAGTGAGTAATTGAGCTTCTGATTTGGAGGGTGTGGCTGCCGGCAGGTGGCATTATCCACAGGAATGTTAAAGAGCTGCTTGCTGAATAGGCTGCTGATGAGGCACACTGAAGGCTTTGCTACAGTGATTAAATTAAGTCACCACATGATTGTCTTGCCTGGAAAAGTTCACTTGTTTCCCCTGTGTATTTGCACACATGCCTTTCACTTGTTTTTAAGAAGTACTGTGTTAAAGGGAAACTATAGTGTTTTGTTTTCAGTGATGTACCAAAGCAGTATTAAACTTAAAGTATATGTAAAGCTGATCATTTAAATTTTATATCAGCATCAACATGTATTGGTAATTTTCAAAATGATTGAAACCTGCAGCTTTCAAAATTATATATACACAGTATAGTGATCTTACAGCGTAGGTCCCTGTTCAAGCACTTCCTATTATAGGGTGTCAATACTCCCGCCTCCCTATTGTGTTCCTGTGTTGTTAAGCTGGCCATACACTGTTCAATTTGTTTTGTTCAAACCATGGGCTAAACAAAAAAATAGAACTGATTCCTCCATTAATGCTTACGGACATTGGTGGATGAATCCCCCGCTGTTTCCTTTCTATTCTGACAGCAGCTTGCGGCTGCTGTCAGAATACACGAACAGTGCTTGTAGCTCTTTGGCTGCAATGCACTGTTCATTTGAAGTTCTGCTGACCGGCTGCTTGGATCTGCTGATCTAGGGATGACGGGCGGAAGGGTGCCGAAAGCAGCACCCACTGTGTGCGAATTTTGGACACATGAAGAAGTGGCTGACATTTGCATAGTGTATGGTCAGCTTTACCCTATCACATGGGCTTCCTATGGAGACTGCAAGTGGCTGTTCCAGCACACATTACATAGGCATGGACCATTGTTGCCACCATGAGGAAATCTGCCCTAAAAAGCATATGCAGCATTTTCTAGAGCACATGAATGTAAACCCAATGTTACTGCAAAGGGGATGCAGGAGATCAGCAACAATGAGATGCAACATAGAATAGGAAAAAGGTGAAAACAAGCATTTTATGTTATTTTTTTAAAAAAGCTTTATGATTTTTCTAGCTTAATGTCATTCAGTTAATGTTTACATTACACATCTACTTTAATTTTATATTTATATTTTTTTTATATATAATATTTGCTTTTGCCTTTCTCCACCAACTACCAATGTAGGGGGGCTTTTCTCCACTAACCACCAATATAAAGGAGACGCAAAAATGTTAACTGTTAGTTTCTTTTATGGCCAGTATTATTAGTTTCCTTTTACAATATTTACTAAAAATACTGTACTTATTTATTTCAGGTATTTATATAGTGTCAACAATTTACGCAGTGCTTTACATAGTTGCACATTCCCATCAGTCCCTGCCCTCAAGGAGCTTACAATCTAAGGTCCCTATCTCACATGCATACACATGAGGCCAATTTAGACTGGAGCCAATTAACTTACCTGCATGTCTTTGGAGTGTGGGAGGAAACCGGAGTACCTGCAGAAAACCCCCGTGAGCACAGGGAAAACATGCAAACTCCATGCAGATAGTGTCCTAACCGGGGTTCAGCAAATTCTTTATTTTTTTTTATATATATATACAGCTTGCTGGTCATGCTATTATACCATGAGCTGGAAATTTAATAATTTTTAATAGGTGTTCTCTGTACCTGAATATTATTTCCAAGATTCCTCAGTGGTAAAACGGTTGAAATATCTGTGTTTGATTGGATGACAAATTAGTAACATTAGTGTTTTTATATTAATTTAAAGTCTTTTATAACAGTTATGTATTTTAACATATATCTTTTTTTTTTATTAACTTTTTATCCATATTCTTATTTAATACAGTACAGAAAAACAAAAACATAAAACATTAGACAACCACTTTTAACATACAAATAAATAAAATCTACATTAACCTTCATCATCATTCTATAATAAATATCTGAAATATATATCTGTACAGTTTGTGTCACGCACCAAATGACATGGATGCTGTATGCAGCAAATGTTAGCTGATATTTCAAACCCAACTCCGGGCACGATCACTTCACTATCTTTAGAAGTGTTATTATGTCTTCACCTCATGTGTAAAGTCATTTCTTGCAGGCTTTGTTCAAAGTGTCTTAAAATTGCTCTTTTAGTTTTTCAGACTTCTACAACTCCCACTATATTTCTGGCCCACTATGACCGTTGCGGGTCCTATAGACACAGGCACTGGTGTCTTGTCTGTGCTCCCCTCTTTCCTTGGCTATCTACAAAACACAAGGCTGTAGGCTACATTTTGTGAGTTGCCAAGCAAAGATGCGTGAAGAAACACAATACCAGCACTGGTGTCTATGAGACCTTCATTCGTTCATTTCCGGAGAGGACCTGAAGTACAGCAGTAGAGTGCAATATTCCAGAAAATTAAAAGAGTTCTTTTGCAGCACTTTGAAGAAAACTTGCAGAAAAGCTTGCTTGAAGAAAGCTTCACAACTGCTGTAAGAGACATAATTACACCTCTATCAATAGTAAAATGATCATGCTCAGAGTTGGGCTTTAAGGCATACTAATCTATGATGGGATGGGTTTAATTAGGTCTATAGTGTGGCATCCTTACCAAAGATGTAATAAAGCTGTGAGATTCTTTTTAAAGGTATGAAGCTGTCAATAAAAAGGGTGATGACTTAACTTTTGAGAAGCAGATCAGACTCGCTAACCTAGAAATTAAGGATGCATTTGTAGTGTGACATATC